AAAAAAAAAAAAAAAAAAAAAAAAAATTTAAAGAAGATTGGGTGTGATGGCTCAGTCAGGAGTTCAAGACTGGCCTGACCAACATGGTGAAATCCTGTCTCTACTAAAAACGCAAAAAATTAGCCAGGTGTGGTGGTGCATGGCTGTAATCCTAGCTGCTCAGGAGGCTAAGGCAGGAGAATCGCTTGAACCCAGGAGATGGAGGTTGCAGTGAGCCAAGATCGCATCATTATACTCCAGCCTGGGCAACAGAGTGAGACTCTATCTCAAAAAAAAAAAACAAACTAAACAAAATAGATGAGGAAACAGAGGCCAAGAGGGGTTACCCATCCAGGAAAGGGCAGTGTCAGGATTCCAATATAAACAACTGAGCAATGGCACTCATGTTATTTTATCTGTTGATTAGCATTACCAAGCATTAGTATGAATGGTTACTTTTAGACTAGATCTTTGCAAGACCAATCAACTCTGTGCTGTCAAACAAGAAAAATAAATATTACCCCAAATACACAGTAATAATACCCCATATACACACTAATAAATCAGTATTAGCTAACACTAATAGGGTACTTGCCATGTGCCAGTGTTGTTCTAAGTGCCTAGGATGTGACCTCATTTAATCCTCACAAATACCCTATGAGAGATTTCTATATTATTATTCTCATTTTACAGATAAGAAAACTGAGGCACAGGTAACTGCGTAACTCAGCAGGACACAGTGGCTCTCACGCCTGTAATCCTAGCACTTTGGGAGGTCGAGGCAGGCAGATCGCTTGAGCTCAGGAGTTCAAGACCAGCCTGGCCAACATGGCGAGACCCTGTCTCTACAAAAAAAAACACACACAAAATTAGTCAGGTATGGTGCCATGCGCCTGTAGTTCCAGCTACTCGGGGAGGCTTGAGGTGGGAGGATCACTTGAGCCCAGGAAGGCTGAGACTGCACTGAGCTGAGATCACTCCACTGCACTACAGCCTGCATGACAAAGTAAGATCCTGTCTCAAAAAAAAAAAAGAAAGAAAGAAAAAGAAAAGTTTATAACCTGACAGGAAGAATAGGACTAAGTTTAAGCTCAGGCTGCCTGTGTCCAGCCATACCATCAACAGTCTGTGCTCTTAGCCACCTTGCTATGCCACCTCTCTGAATTTGCTATTGTTATTATCATACATAGTTTAAGAGCTCATAAGGCACTTTCAGGAACGTACAAGATAAAGGCTATGAAGTATAGGGTGCTTGGTGAGAGATGAAGGTGAGTGTCTCCTTAAGAATGGGGTTCAAGAAAGCCTTTCAAGATAGCGACTTTCAGGCTGAGATCCGAGGGATGGGAAGGAGCCAGCCAGGTAGATTACAGCAAAAAGCCCAGGCTGAGGACTCACCAATCACAAAGGCTAGGAGGCCAAAGAGAACCTAGAGCCTCAGGAAAACTGAAAGCAGGCCAGTATGACTGAACCTTGGTGACAGGGAGGACATGGGAGGTACAGCCTGTACACTCTGTAGCCGGGAGTGGGCGGTATAATCACAGTGCAGGAGAAAGCCATGGGGCAGGAGCAAGCTCCACCAGCAGCTACCAGGTATCCACCCTAAAATCTGGACTCTGTGCCAAGAAGGGATCACAGTTAAAATTTCTTTCCCTCCAACGTGATGGTATGGTGCGTTCTTTTTTTTTTTTTTTTTTTGGAAACAGTCTTACTCTGTGGCCCAGGGTGGAGTGCAATGGCATGACCTGGCTCACTGCAACCTCCGCCTCCTGGGTTCAAATGATATCCCCCGCCCCAGCCTCCTGAGTAGCTGGAATTACAGATGCGCGCCAGCACACCTGGCTAATTTTTGTACTTTTTGTAGAGACGAGGTTTCACCATGTTGCCCAAGCTGGTCTTGAACTCCTGATCTCAGGTGAACAGCCCACCTCGGCCTCCCAAAGTGCTGGGATTACAGGCATGAGCCACCGTAACCGGCCAGTGGTATGGTTCTTATCATTTCCATTTTATAAAAACAGATTTTGTGCCTAGAGAGCTGGAAAACAATTTTTTAAAAAAGTGCTGCTGTGCTGTTGGAATTCCTTCTACCTACTGTGAAATCATTTCCTTCTATGTTTCTATTTCAGGATGTAGGAAACTGTTCTGTATGCCCTCCTCCCTAGACAGCACTGCAGAGACTTTACAAGCAACTTTTCACGTCTTTTTCATAGTTTTGGGTGGCAATATGAATTAAGAATCCCACCTTGGTGAGGAAAAGGGATAGAGTCCGCAGAGGGTGAGAAAAGGAGGGATAGACGAGAGGAAGAGTTGGGGCGGGTAATACTCTGGACTGAACCCAGGAAGCGACCTTCATGACCCAGCTGGGGCCAGGGCAGTGAGGCTGGAGAGCGCTATGATCGTGACGTCTAAAGGCGATCAAACGGGGGTTAAAGTATAGCAGGACTAGGCTGTGATTTGCAAAAGCAAAATGCATTCCTAGGGGTGGAAACCAGGGAGGAACCCAGGAATCGCTCCAACACAAGAAGGTGGAGCCGGCAATACAGCGAGGAGAGGGAAAGTGGGAGGGACCGTGGCTAAAGGGACGGGGCTTAGGAGACGAGGCGGGGCTTAGGGGAAGAGGCGCGGCAGGGAGAATCCTGAGCGAACTGGCCGGGGGGCTGATAGTCGGGGCCACAGTTCTCAGGGCGCAACTAGGAGACCCAGGAAACCTAAAACTGGGGTAGGCATGGCGAGCTGCTCCTCACCCGGTTCTGCACCGTCTCCTCGGGGGCTGTCGAGAATCGCGTCCGCCGCCGGAGGCAGAGCGGTGGGGCGGGGGGCGGGGAGGACTGGCCCCTCCGCGCCGGAACTCCCGCCATGACAGAGGTCAACTTCTCCGCCGCATCGTTCCGCGCATTGCCTCCGGACCCTACGGCCGCCATCGTCGCACCGGAGCCGGGCGACCGTTACATCCCCTAACCGCCGCCGCCTCCACGACTCACTGGAACAGCAAACAACCGCGGGAAAGCCGGCGCCGCCGCCTATTGGACGCGACGGGCCCGGTCTGGCCAATCTCAGGGCTGCCGGGCGGTGCTCCTAGGACCAATGGGGACGAGGAAGCGCAGCGAGTGCCTGGCGGGGCGGGGCTACAGCTAGTGTACAGGATGGGCCTGATCAAGCGTCGTGGGGTCTTTCATCCAGACTGCGTTTTCATTATTCGCTGGAACATACAGGTTTTAACTTTTACGAGGCTAAGGCCACAGCCGCCTCACCTCGATTTTTGCCGCCACCCAGAGGAACTATGTGCGCTCTGACGGTCGCCCGGATGTAAGCAAAGGGCGGGGCAAGTTGATTTGGTTGGCGCAGGCTCAGAAACGCCGTGACGACGCCTCTCAAACAACACGTGATGAAAGTCGGGTTGGCGACGGGCCGGCTTTGCGCAAGCGCACAGTACTCGCTTTGGCTCATTCGCCACGTGACGAGGGCGTGGCTGTGGGACTGGAGGGGGCACCTAGCGTACAGGCGCTCTCAGCTCTGCCGGGTACGTGACGAGACTCCAGGAACGTCACGTGAGGCAGGGTTCGGCGGCGCTCGGCGAAAACCAAAGTGCAGCCGCTGACCTGGCAAAACTCAGAGCAGCTGGGCAGCCATGCCCAAGTACTGCAGAGCGCCGAACTGCTCCAACACTGCAGGCCGCCTGGGCGCGGACAACCGCCCTGTGAGCTTCTACAAGTGAGCGCAGCGCGGGGCGGGGCTTGGGGGAGGCGGGGCCTTGGGAGGGGCGGGGCCCGAGCGTTAGCGCTGTTGTGCGGGGCTTTGGGTCTCGCTCGAGGGTGTAAGGAAGTGGGGTTCAACCGTGAGGAGACAGCATACCCGGCAGTGGACACTGCACATGCGAAGGTGCAGGGGTGGGAAACAACAGGAGTAGACAATTAACTACAGGTAGCGAACGGAGCGAGCCGAAGAGATGTCCACTCGCCCTCCCCACGCATTTGAGCCGTCTGAAACTCATAACATCCGAAACTGAGCTTGCGATCTTGTCTCCCCCCAAACCTTCCAGTTTGTCGTATCTTAGTAGTTTACTTCATTCTTCTTGTTGCTTAGGCTAAAAAATATAGTCATCCTTGCCTCTTCTCTTTCGTCATACTTGGGAAAGTCAGAATTAGCTTGGACTGTGAAAGATCTGTCCTCTTGTTTCTCGGCTGACATAAGCCAACTGGCGGAAGAATTACGAGGAAAAAAATTTCTTTCCTTTTTTTGCTTTTTCTTTTTTTGAGACAGGATCGCTCTGTTGCCCAGGCTGGAATGCAGTGGCACGATCACAGCTCACTGCAGCCTCGACCTCCCCGGCTCAAGTGATCCTCCCACCTCATTCTACCAAGCAGCTGGGACCAAGGCACGCGCTACCAGACCTGGATAATTTTGAAAAAAAATTTATTTTGGCCGGGCGCGGTAGCTCACGCCTGTAATCCCAGCACTTTGGGAGGCCGAGGTGGGCGGATCACCTGAGGTCAGGAGTTTGAGACCAGCCTGGCCAACATGGTAAAACCCCGCTCTACTAAAAATACAAAAATTAGCTGGGCCTGGTGGCTTATGCTTATAATTCTAGATACTCAAGAGGCAGGAGAATCGCTTGAACCCAGGAGGCAGAGGTTGCAGTGAGCCGAGATCATGCCACTGCACTCCAGTGTGGGTGACAAAAGCAAGACTCCGTCTCAAAAAAAAATTTTTTTTTAAAGAGAGAGATAAGGCCGGGCGCGGTGGCTCACGCTTGTAATCCCAGCACTTTGGGAGGCCGAGGCTGGTGGATCACGAGGTCAAGAGATCGAGACCACCCTGGTCAAAATG